CTGATGGTTGTTGTTGATGATGGCTGATGATGCTGCTGATGGTGTTGTTGTTGATGATGGTTGATGCTGCTGCTGATGGTTGTGTTGTTGATGATGGTTGTTGTTGATGATGGTTGATGCTGCTGATGGTTGTTGTTGTTGATGATGGTTGATGCTGCTGCGATGGTTGTTGTTGTTGATGTTGTTGTTGATGATGGCTGATGCTGCTGCTGATGGTGTGTTGATTGCTGCTGATGGTTGTTGTTGTGATGATGTGGTTGATGTGATGCTGCTGATGGTTGTTGTTGATGGATGCTGCTGCTGATGGTTTGATGATGGTTGATGCTGCTGCTGATGGTTGTTGCTGATGATGGCTGATGATGCTGCTGATGGTTGTTGTTGATGGTTGATGCTGCTGCTGATGGTTGTTGTTGATGATGGTTGATGCTGCTGCTGATGGTTGTTGTTGATGATGGTTGATGCTGCTGCTGATGGTTGTTGTTGATGACTGATGATGCTGCTGATGTTGTGTTGATGATGATTGATGCTGCTGATGGTTGTTGTTGTTGATGATGGTTGATGATGCTGCTGATGGTTGTTGTTGATGATGCTGATGCTGCTGCTGATGGTTTTGTTGATGATGGTTGATGCTGCTGCTGATGGTTGTTGTTGATGGTTGATGATGCTGCTGATGGTTGTTGTTGATGATGGCTGATGCCGCTGATGGTTGTGTTGTTGATGATGGTGATGCTGCTGCTGATGGTTGTTGTTGATGATGGTGATGCTGCTGATGGTGTTGCTGATGGTTGATGATGCTGGTTGTGTGTTGATGATGGCTGATGCTGCTGCTGATGGTTGTTGTTGATGATGTGATGATGCTGATGGTTGTTGTTTGATGATGGTGATGCGTGATGGTTGTTGTGATGATGGTTGATGCTGCTGCTGATGTTGTTGTTGATGATGGTTGATGCTGCTGCTGATGGTTGTTGATGATGGTTGATGATGCTGATGGTTGTTGTTGTTGATGATGGCTGATGCTGCTGCTGATGGTTGTGTGTTGATGATGGCTGATGCTGCTGATGGTTGTTGTTGATGATGGTGATGCTGCTGCTGATGGTTGTTGTTGTTGTGATGGCTGATGCTGCTGCTGATGGTTGTTGTTGTGATGATGGCTGATGCTGCTGCTGATGGTTGTTGTTGATGATGGTTGATGCTGCTGCTGATGGTTGTTGTTGATGATGATGATGCTGTTGCTGATGGTTGTTGTTGATGATGGCTGATGCTGCTGCTGATGGTTGTTGTTGATGATGGTTGATGCTGCTGCTGATGGTTGTTGTTGATGATGGTGACGCTGCTGATGGTTGTTGTTGATGATGATGATGCTGCTGATGATTGTTGTTGATGATGTGATGCTGCTGCTGATGGTTGTTGCTGATGATGTTGCTGATGGTTGTTGTTGATGATGGCTGATGATGCTGCTGCTGATGGTTGTTGCTGATGATGTTGCTGATGGTTGTTGTTGATGATGGCTTGATGCTGCTGCTGATGGTTGTTGTGGATGGTTGCTGTTGATGATGGTTGATGATGCTGCTGATGGTTGTTGTTGATGATGGGTGATGGCTGTTGTTGATGATGGTTGATGCTGCTGCTGATGGTTGTTGATGATGTTGCTGATGGTTGTTGCTGATGATGGATGCTGCTGCTGATGGTTGTTGTTGATGATGGTGACGCTGGGTTGTTGTTGATGATGGCTGATGATGCTGATGGTTGTTGATTGATGTGCTGATGGTTGTTGTTGATGATGTGCTGATGGTTGCTGATGATGGCTGATGATGCTTTGTGGATGATGGTGATGGATGTTGTTGCTGATGATGCTGATGATGGTTGATGATGCTGCTACGGTTGTTGCTGATGGCTGGATGATGCTGCTGATGGCTGAAGTTTGTTGATGATGGCTGATGCTGCTGATGCTTGCTTGTTGATGATGGTTGATGCCGCTGATGGTTGCTTGCTTTCGATTTATTTTGGCTTCGGATGCTTTCGCTTTATTTTTGGTTGCTTGTTTATGCATGGCTTGATGCTGCTGCTGATGGTTGTTGTTGTTGATGATGGCTGATGCCGCTGATGGTTGTTGTTGATGGCTGATGATGTTGCTGATGGTTGTTGTTGATGATGGTTGATGCTGTTGATGGTTGTTGTTGATGATGGCTGATGCTGCTGCTGATGGTTGTTGTTGTTGATGATGGTTGATGCTGCTGATGGTTGTTGTTGTTGATGATGGTTGATGCTGTTGATGGTTGTTGTTGATGATGGTTGATGCTGTTGCTGATGGTTGTTGTTGATGATGGTTGATGTTGATATTGTTGCTGATGATGGTTGATGATGCTGATGGCTGCTATTGGTTGATGATGGCTGATGCTGGCGCCGATGGTTGTTGTTGCTGATGATGGCCGATGCTGCTGCCGATGGTTGTTGCTGATGATGGCCGATGCTGCTGTCCGTCATGGTTATGTTGATGGTCGATGCTGCTGCTGATGGCTTGCCGTTGTTGATGATGGCTGATGCTGCTGGCGATGGTTGTTAAGCTGATGATGATGATGCTGCTGCTGATGGTTGTTGTTGATGATGACGATGCTGCCGCTGATGCATTGCTTGGTTGTTGATGGCCGATGCTGCTGCTGATGGTTGCTGTTGGGCGACAGATGGTCAGATGCTTGCCGCTGGATGGTCGTTGCTGATGGTCAGATGCTGCTGCTGATGGTTGTTTGCTGATGATGATGATGAGATGCTGCTGATGGTTGTTGTTGATGATGGCTGATGCTGCTGCTGATGTTTGTTGTTGATGATGTTGCTGATGGTTGCTGTTGATGATGGCTGATGATGCTGCTGCTGATGGTTGTTGCTGATGATGTTGCTGATGGTTGTTGTTGATGATATTGATGCTGCTGCTGATGGCTGTTGATGATGTTGATGGTTGTTGTTGATGATGGTTGATGATGCTGCTGCCGATGGCTGTTGCTGATGATGTTGCTGATGGCTATTGTTGTTGATGATGGCTTGATGCTGCTGATGGTTGTTGTTGATGATGTTGCTGATGGTTGTTGTTGATGATGGCCGATGCTGCTGCTGATGGTTGTTGTTTATGATGGCTGATGCTGATGGTTGTTAGTTGTTGATGATGGTTGATGATGCTGTTGATGGGTTGTTGCTGATATTGATGATGCCGTTTACGGTTGTTGTTGATGATGTTGTTGATGGTTGTTGTTGACGCAGATGGTTGGATGATGCCGCCGATGGTTGTTGTTGATGATGGTTGATGCTGCTGATGGTTGTTGGTTGATGATGGTTGATGATGCTGCTGGGATGGTTGTTGTTGATGGTTATTACGCTGCTGATGGTTGTTGTTGATGATGATGGTTGATGCCGCTGATGGCTTGTTGTTGATGGCTGATGATGCTGCTGATGGTTGTTGCTGATGATGGCGACGCTGCTGATGGTTGTTGATGGTTGATGAGATGCTGCTGATGGTTGTTGTTGCTGATGATGGTCGATGCTGCTGATGTTGTTGCTGATGATGGCTGATGCTGCTGATGGTTGTTGTTGATGATGAAGCGATGCTGCTGCTGATGGTTGGCGTTGTTGATGATGTTGATGCTGCTGATGGTTGTTGTTGATGATGGCTGATGCTTGCTGACGGTTTATTGTTGGATGATGGCTTTGATGCCGTTGCTGATGGTTGTTGTTGATGATGGTTGATGCTGCCGCCGATGGTTGTTGATGATGTTGTTGGCTGGCTGTTGTTGATGATGGCTGATGCTGCTGCTGATGGTCATTGTTGATGATGATGGCTGATGCTGCCGCTGATGGTCAGTTGTTGATGATGGCTGATGCCGCTGCTGACGGTTGTTGTTGATGGTTGATGATGCCGCTGATGGTTGTTGTTGATGATGGCTGATGATGGATATTGTTGCTGATGATTTTGCTGATGCTGCTGCTGATGGTTGTTGTTGATGATGGTTGATGATGATGCTGATGGTTGTTGCTGGATGGCGGCTGATGATGCTGCTGATGGTTGTTGTTGATGATGGCTGATGATGCTGCTGATGGTTGTTGTTTATATTATGGCTGATGATGCTGCTGATGGTTGTTGCGATGATGGCTGACGATGCTGCTGATGGTTGTTGTTGATGATGGTTGATGCTGCTGCCGATGGTTGCCGTTTCGATGATTTTATTGATGATGATGCCATACGTTGATGATGGTTGATGATGCTGCTGATGGTTGTTGTTGTTGATGGTTGATGATGCTGCTGATGGTTGTTGTTGATGATGGTTGATGATGCTGCTGATGGTTGTTGTTGATGATGGTTGATGCTGCTGCTGATGGTTGTTGTTGATGATGGTTGATGATGCTGCTGATGGTTGTTGTTGATGATGGTTGATGCTGCTGATGGTTGTTGTTGTTGATGATTGTTGATGCTGCTGATGGTTGTTGTTGATGACGGTTGATGATGCTGCTGATGGTTGTTGTTGATGATGGTTGATGATGCTGCTGATGGTTGTTGTTGATGATGGCTGATGATGCCGCTGATGGTTGTTGTTGTTGCTGCCGATGCTGCTGCTGATATTGTTGTTGATGATGGTTGATGATGATGCTGATGGTTGTTGATGATGGCTGATGATGCTGCTGATGGTTGTTGTTGATGATGGTTGATGATGCTGCTGATGGTTGTTGTTGATGACGGTTGATGATGCTGCTGATGGTTGTTGATGATGATGGTTGATGATGCTGCTGATGGTTGTTGTTGCTGATGGTTGATGATGCTGCTGATGGTTGTTGTTGATGATGGTTGATGATGCTGCTGATGGTTGTTGTTGATGATGCTGATAACATTACAAATTGTAGATGACCACTTCTGAGATATATAGTCTATCCTTTACGAAAGAACGAGATAAAAATATGTGTACAATAGAACATAAATGAATCTGTGTAAAATATTCATGCTGTTATTTTGTTGACAGGTTTACCATCTGTAGAACGGTGGAATTTAACGTTGTCCACTGGGGAGGTGTTGGATATAACGGATACTGCAAGTGAAAACCTTACTTACGTGTTTGTGGAGGTCAGTACACCTGTTTGTATTACTCACCCCCTAACCTGCTCTAACTTAACCTCACTTAACCTAATCTAATCAACCTTAATGTATCCTAACCAAAACTAAACTAACCTAATATAATTTAACCTCACCTAGCCTAGCCTAGCCTAACTTAACTAACTTAACTTAACTTAACTTAAACTAATCTAACCAAATGTAACCTAACCTAACTCAACCCAATACTGTATAGTCTTATGTACCCTAATCCTATCTAATCCTATCTAATCTAATCTAATCTAATCTAATCTTAATCAAAACTTAACTTAACCTAAATTATCCTAATCTAATCTAACGTAACCTAACGTAACCTAACCTAATCTAACCTATCGTAACCTAACCTAATGTATCTTAACCTAACCTGACGTAAAGTAACTTTACCTAACTTAACCTGGCCTAACCAAACCGAACTAACCTAACCTAATCTAATTTAGTCAAACCTAACATAACATAACCTAATCTAACCTAAACTAACCTAACCTAACTTAATGTAACTGATGCCTATCGTAGCAACACAGTTTTTATTAAAACTTAAAAGTAAAGCTTTCTTATGCCATCAATATTTATTTTGAGATACCATCCATCTACATGAGCAACCTAAGGAAGTTCAGGGCCAGTGACAGTAACTAAGTCAGTCAAGGCCTTGTCATGACACAGTTACTAACTCTGTCAAGGCCTTGTCATGACAGTTCCACTAACTCTCTCAAGGCCTTATCATGACACAGTTAATAACTCTATCAAGGCCTTGTCATGACACAGTTACTAACTCTGTCAAGGTCTTGTCATGACAGTTCCACTAACTCTTTCAAGGTCTTGCCATGACACAGTTAATAACTCTGTCAAGGCCTTCTCATGACACAGTTACTAACTCTGTCAAGGCCTTGTTATGGAACAGATACTAACTCTCCATCAAGGCTTTGTTATGAAACAGTAACCATATCTGTTTGGAATATGACAGTAACCATGGGTCTTACCATGACAGATAACCTCTCTTCCAGGGTCATGTCAAGAGTGAGCAGCTGAGACTTAGCCTTGGTAAAAGTCAGCAGCTGAGCTCATTTCACATGCAAAATAAAAAAATCTAGCTCTGCTAGATCCATTACTGGTACTGTATAGCAGTAACATGCTTGCCTTTCAGCATTGCATCCCGGGTTCGATCCCCAGGTCAGATGTGAGAAGAGTGTTTTCTAGTGTGACCCGACCAAAGATGATAGTTTTTTGGGGGGTATTCCAGTTTCCTTCTGTACTAGTAAGTCATAACAAAGAACAGATCTGCATATCAAAGAACAGACTTTTATCCTCTACACCACTGATCAGCTCGTTAGCCGCTTGGATGATCGGTCACATCTCTGTTACACACTGTTGACAAGTACCTGGCATACACTGGCTCCTGAATGTACCTGAATCTTCTCCATTGGCTGTCAAGTCTGGTCTTGAAAGCGCTCACTCTCGGTACTGTCACAACATTCTCTGGCAGGTTGTTCCAAGATTTCACAACTCTCACTCCATAAAAGTTAGCCCTCACAGTTTTCTGGACTTATGGCTTCTTCAACCTTGAGCTGTGACCCCTTCTGGGGCGAGCGTCCGCCAGCTCCAGGTAAGGACACTCGACTCAGTAGTGTCCTTTGAGATGTTTATACACTTCTATTAGGTCCCCCCTTGCCCCTCTGTAGTATAAGCTAGGCAATTGCAGGCGCACTAATCTCTCAGGGTAGCTGAGGTGCCGAAGTGCTGGCACCGGCCTGGTGGCCCTGCTTTGGACATTTTTAATCAACTGACAGTTCCTAGCATATCTCGGGGACCAGACGGGGTGACAGTACTCTAGGTGGGGAAGCACCTCACTCGTGAAGATCGTTACGAGGGACGGACAGTCTAGATATCTAAATGACCATCTTATAAGACCTAATAATTTAGTTGCCTGATTCACCTTCTTCTCACAATGGCCCAAGAACTTCAGTTCATTGTCAACATACACACGTAGGCCCTTTTCACATTGTCTCAAGTACAGCCTCTTTTTACTTCGTGACATTGAATCTTGGCAGCCATTTCTTTGACCATTCTTAAATCTCAGAGATCTTTCTGCAGCTCTTCACAGTCTGCTTGGTTCTTAATTTCCCTAAATAACTTGGCATCATCCGCAAACATTTGGTTGGAAGAATGTACAACTTCTGGCACATCATTTATGAAGCAAACAAACAAAAGCAGGCCCAATGCATTGCCCTGTGGTACCCCGCTTATTACAGGTACCCATGACGATTTCTTGCCATTAATCACTACACACTGCTTGCAATTATGGAGAAAGTCTCTGATCCATGCGAAAACATTTCCCCGAATCCCGTACCCTTCCAGTTTAATTTTCAGCCTTTCATGGAGTACTCTGTCGAAAGCCTTGGCAAAATCTTGGCATACATTGTTGTTATTGTCACCTTGTTCAAGAATTTGGATCCAAACATCCAGAACCTTGAGTAATTGTGTTAAGCTGGAGCGCCCAGGCATAAAGCCGTGTCGGCAAGGTTGTTTCATAGTAGATGTTCCATCATGGCATCTCTTATAATGTTCTGAAGTACTTTACACACTATGCTGGTCAGGCTCACTGGTCTATAGTTATTTGTGGAGTGATGATCGCCCTTCTGGAAGATTGGACTCACTTAAGCCATTTTCCAATCACTGGGGACCTTTTGCTCCTCCAGTCATTTACAGAACAGGATCTTCAGGGGCTCAACAAGCTCAGTGCACAACTCTCTTAGCATTTTAGGATGCACCATGTCAGGGCTGGGACTCTTATGAACCTTTAGCTTTGACAATTTATTTCTTATAACCTCTTCTGTGAACACAATGTGGGTCAGTGCTGTGTCGAACTGTCTGTCCTCAAATGCAGGAAGATTGTTTGCATTCCTCTCTTGTGAACACCGAGAAAAAGAAACTGCTCAATGCCTCCACTTTGTCCTGGTCAGAATCTGCATAACTACCATCTTCAAGCCTCAGGTCCGATGCTCTTACTCGCTTTGTAATTACGACTTTACATAACGGTAAAACGCCTTTGGGTTTGACTTGACCTAGCTTGCAACCAGCCTCTGGAACTCCTTTTCAGCCCTTCTACACTCTAACTTTGCTTGTTTCCTAGATCTTATATACATCCTCCTTTCCTGCGCATCATTTGGCCTAACCCACGCCTTGAATTTCTGGGTTTTCTTCTTAACTTTGTCGACCGCTACTTGGTTCATGTGTAGTGGTCTTTTTGTATTTCTAGAGGCACTGGGTTTGGTCTTGGGTGTATAGTATAGTCTGGGTTTACGCGTCTAATTAAACCAATGGAGGTCCGCGTATAAAGCGAAACGAGTTAGTAAATTAACAGAACATATGGGATTAATTGAAATAGAGACTGGGCCGACCACCAGACTACCCTTTTTAGGGCTATCGCTGACACAATATGTACGTTGTAGTAAAAATAATATCTTAATTTTATGATGGTATGCACACACAATTAATATTTAAGAGAAAAATCAATAATATTTGTTTTTTTAACACTTACGTTAGTAGAAGAGATGGCTGGGCACACGGGGATGGGGGTTGGTTTCGAGGCAGAGGGCAGATTATTGGCCCTCTCCTGTATCGCCTGTATTACCTGTATCTCTATCCACCACAGAGGCTAGCAGGGCCTCCTTGTCAAACCCCTCAAAGTCCATATCCTCACTATCACTGACTTGGGCTGGCGGGTGAAGAACTCGGTAATGTTTTGTTGACGGCTAGCAATGATGTGGTTGTGATACTGCTTAGCATAGGGCTCCAGGGCTTGCAAATAATGGTATTAGACACTTCATAGTGATGTTTGACCAGGTCTTTGGCAAGGAGGAGCTTCAATCTCTCAGCTGCCTCGATAATTTCCTTCACATCAGCATGTGTTAGTTTCTGCTCTTGTTCTGTAACACCTCATTGCTCACTGACGTCATCATCTTGCAACATCTCGTCTGCAGTCACCTCAGGTTGCCTGATTACCTCCAGGATGTCCTCGTTGGTGGTCTCGGAGAAGCCTGCAACTCTTAACACTTTGTGCAGCCTCTCTTGCAATCTCCAATGTCACAGCAACAGACTGAGCCTCTCCAACCACCGCTTGCCTCTGCCTCCCACCTGGGATACCCTCCCAACACATGACGCCACGTGTGATGAATCGTTGCCACAGACAGCTGCCCCCATGCCTCCACCAAGAAATCAACAGCTTTCTTAACGTTAAACAGTTTCCAGAACTGCTTGACTCGCACTTCATGGTCAGCCAAATCTTGTTCGTGATCCTCGTCCTCGCTCTCGCTATCGGTGCCACTCTCTAAGTTCTGCAATTCATCCTTGGTGTTGGTGAATTCGTTCGGGAGCCGAAACTTCTTGGCGGAGAAAGCAGCCTTCACGTTGCAAATCAACTCCTGATCCATGGGCTGGATTAACGACGTAGTGTTAGCAGGAAGGAAGACCACTTTTATGTTGGGGTGACAATCCAGCAATAGGGGCGAGTGTCCTGGTGCGTTGTCGATGAGCAACAAAATGTTGAATGGCACATTATTTTGCGTGCAGAATTTCTTGACATCAGGAACGAGATAGTTGTCAAACCAGGAGAGGGACAGGCCAGAGAACATCCACGCCTTCCCTGAGGTTAGCCAGTGGACTTTCTACTTGCTCCTGTCCATATTCTTGTAGGCATGTGGCCTGCGGGCTTTGTATATCACAGACAACTTCAGCTTAGCAGTGTCGGAGGCATTGGTGGTGAACAGTACGGTGATGCTCTGCATTTTGCGCCTCCCGACACTTGCTTGCAGATTTGACTACGAAGGTCTTGGATGGCAATTTCTTCCAGTACAACCCTGATTCATCCATATTGAACACTTGGTCGTCAGTGTACTGTCCTTCCTCCATAATTTTCCGTAAAAATGGGGGAAAATTCATGGCGGCAGCCCGGTCGGCACTTGCTCCTTCTCCGACTATCTTAATATTGGTGATCTTGTTGCATCATTTAAAACCTTGCTGCCACCCAGCGGAAGCAGTGAAGGGCTTGGGCTCTGCAACTCCCATTTTTATTGCCACTGATTGGTAGAGTTCTGGGGCGTAGTCCTGCACTGCCCGAGTGTCGACCGCCATGTTCCTTCTTGACTGACGAATAATGTAGCTTGCCAACAAACTCTCAGTCTTCAGCAGCACCTTATTGTGGCAATATTTCACCAGCGAGGCACCTACAGACTTGGTAATGTTCATGTGTTCATTGATTTTGCTGGCATCCTTCTTGATTGTGCGGATTGTCGATTCATTCACTCCATATTGTCTGGCCAGATCCATCTGCCTCGTTCCTTTTTCTAACTCCTGAACAATCTTGTACTTAACCTCATAGCTTAAGGCGCGTCACACCTTCTTGGGCTTGGGGCGGCTTGGGCCAGGTAGTTCAAGGTTTCTCAGGGTGGTGGGGGTCCAGCGGTAGCCATTGTGTAGAAACAAAAAACAAAACAGGTTCCTCGGCACGAGTGAGTATACGCGGAGACAATGAGACTGGTGCGACCAAGGTCATCGCCCCTGGTGGCAGGGGCACTCAAGGTTAAATAGACCAATCACAGCGCGTGGTGGAGGGAGTGCGTGGGTGGTAAGGATACGTGGCCCAATCACAGTCCGCGACGTCATCGGCACGAGTCTGACGTCAGCGGTGACGTCAGCGACCAGCAGCTTGCCCGCCGCTTGCAGCATAAATTAAGGAATGTACCGCGTAACTAATAATTAGAGCGTCTGGCCAGTTACTGCGTAAATGGCCAATCGCGTATAAAATAACCGCGTAAACCCAGACTATGCTGTATATTTCTCGATCAAATGGTTCACTTTACTGGTTATGATATTCAGCGTAGTGTCTGCGTTCTTATATGTTAGTGAGTCAGGCCAGTGGATACCCCTCATCTCCTCCTTCACCTAGTTTTGTCGTAAACCAATTAGCAGTTAAATTTGAAGTACAACATTATATAGTGGCTGGTGCCAATGGGGGCTAGTTCCACCTTGGCCACCATACCCTCCTCGTTTGTTATGATTAGGTCCAGTGGCTTGGGTGTTTGCTTTCTGCTGTAATTTGTCGGGTCCTTAACATGTTGGAACAGAAAATTATCTTTCAGAGCTTCTACAAAAAGAAGAGAGGGGTTATTAAGTCATTTGGCATGGACTCGTTTCTCCAGTCAATGTCGCCATAGTTAAAATCCCCCATAATAAAGAGGTGGCTAGGGTTGAGCATCGTTGCATTGTCTATCAAGGCTCTTAAGTTTTTTTGGTTTAATAAGCTACAGTTTGGGGATCTGTAGATACACCTGACAAAAAATAAGTCTATACCCTTTAATTTAATTTTACACCACTTTGATTTTTCAAAAACAACCTCTCCCTATACCCTCACCTGGCTGGCTTTAAGGTCTTGCCTACCACAGATAACCACATCCCTCTTGCAAGTTTCTTGAGAAAGGTTCATAAATAAGTCATATCCGTCAATACTGAACTCGCATTCTTCTGGGTCGCTTCTCCTATTCTTGAACAACAGTTCCACAACACCTACTATATCGGGTTGATGTACCTTCAGTAGTGTTTCAAACTCCGCTCTCGTATCAAGGAACAAGTCAGTATTAGTGTACATGACTTTCAATCCGGAATTTGTTCTCGGTAATGTCTCTGCTCTAGGTAGTGACTCCAGCTCCCCTCCATTCTCAGCAGCTGCAGTATTTGCTAAATACTGTACTGTACTGTACATTGTATTTTGCAGGGTGTGGTCAGAGATGACATTGTTTACATGGCACTTGCCTCCTCCTTGGTGGGAGGTAGAGCGGGTGGAGAGTGTACTGCTACCCCCTGGCTCTGTGCTGGCACTCTTGCTTCCACTACCCTTCCCCTGGATATAACCCATGTACACCCGTCCTCGTTCCTCCTCGACTCCTCCCTCTACTGCTTCAAGCCCTGTAGGAGTTTCTTGTGCTGTTACCTCTGCATTACCATGTGATCTGGGTGAATGAATACATTCTGAAATGCCACACTCCTTGCTAAGTTTATTACCTGCCGAATAACTTCCTATTTCTTATCCTCACTCACTAGTGTGAACCTGAGGGGGTGAGGCTTGTCCTCCTCTTTTGACCTACCCTTCTCACATCCTGAGGGGGCTAACATATTCAGAGCCTCTGTACAAATATCAAATTGCAACTTATCGTGTGTTTTCCTACTCTCGGCTTCTTCCGACTGGCTCTCAGGCACTCCTAAAACTATTACATTGTTCCTGTGCTCGAAACGTTCCCATTGTACCTCCTCTCCCCTAACAGTAGGTCTGCTAGTTGCCATCTCTTCGACACATTTCTTCCGAGTCCCTAGCTGCTGTATAACCAGTTCGGATCTTGCGTTACTCTCCGCCATCTTCCGTGGTCCTGCTAAGGCCTGATCATAACTCTTCACTACTCCCTCCTACTCCCTCCACTCTATCAGCTACCTATCAGCTGTAGTTTGCCAACCGGCTTCATCTATTCTCGTCCCTAGGAAACTTGCTCCCCTATGGTTTGCAATCTCCTCTTTTACTTTGATTTTGAAAGTCAGGGCAATACCAGCAACAGCCTTCATGCTTTACCACATTATGTATCGTCCTAAACTCTGACTTGCCCAGACCAGCACAATGTACATCCAACATCGCCCTGCAGTAATTGCATGTTAACAGACTTCCTGGTGACTCTTTACCCCTGATTCTCTATCCCTATACTTCTTGGCTGTTGCTGTTGGGGAGGAGGGGGGGGGGAGGTGCAGATTCTGTACGAATCTGCTCAGCCTTAAGCCCACTAGTTTACAATGTGATATAATTTTAATCGTTGGCTTAATAATAATATTAATCTTTACTACTATGATAATTGTTTCTATTCTGTGTCTTGGTAGCAGAGTTTTAGCGTCAAGGTCCCTTTAAAAGCCCCGCTCCACTGCCTGCATACCTTGGCTACTTTGTCTAGTGCCAACCACTGGGCTCACACTTAATTTCTTCTGACGAAGAAATTTACCCCTCAGTGGGACGACTTCCTTTATAATCACATCTAATATTATAGTCTAAGTGAACTGAGATGTGCGAGTGATCATGCCCTTATGGCAGACTTATGTGATTTAAAAAATCACTTTGCTGCCCTCTGCTGGTCTTGATCTCCCCAGCACTCTCGTTCATCCAGGGTTGCAGTCCAAGACAGTTTGACTTGTCTTCTGTTTTTTTTTCCAGTTCTCCTCGATGAGTTGTTGGTATCTTTATGTGCTATCCCTATGTACACTGTATCTCGCTATGAATGGTGGATCATATGCACACTCACAGTCCTTTTGAAAACACAGAAAAAAGATATAAAACTTTCTTTGTGACAGCAGTAAATGCCGTCCGAGACAGCCTGGCTTGTTTTGTGCTTAAAGATCCTGGTTATTCATGTACATCAAAACTTAAAAAATTACTGGTACTTTATTACTTCACCATTATAAGAAAAAGATGTGGGAGCTGACCAAGATTTTTAAAGAATTTTTCATTAAATTCAGCACTATGTTAATGTACTGTACTTTTTTTCTTGTATTGGCGTCCAGGAAGGAACATACACTCTACTGGTATCGGGCTGCAACGCTGTGCAAGGGTGCATCTCTTCTGACCCCATCATAGTCGTAATCTTAACAGATTTAGAAGGTTTTGAACTGCATGATGACGGAAGTATCATTGAACCGGTAAGTGATAAAAGTAAAAAAGATAGTAATTACCGTAATAGTTCTTTGTAGGTGGAGAGAGAATTTTTTTCTTTGGACAAATAGGATCACATAAAGATTAGCACTTAGTTTATTTCACCTGATCAGTAAACACCTTAACAGTAACTTAACCTAACTTAACCAAAACCTCTGTAGCTGGCATTATGATGTTTAATCATTAGGCAAAATAAACTGGAAAATTAGCAAATAAAGAAAGCTGAAGCCGCAACGAGAATTATGAAAATTTATGGCTGTAGGAATTATGCATTATAAATTATAAAGGGTTGGAAGATGTATGAAATGGTGATGGATGTTACATCCACTTCTGCATCCGCAAAATTTTCACATCTGCATCTAGAAAATGCGGATGTTACGGATTAGTAGATCCTGGGATTTTATACCATTATATAACATAAATATTATATAATATATAATATTTTGTCACACACACACACACACACACACACACACACACACACACACACACACACACACACACGCACACATACACACACACAAAAAGACACTGACGGACTGGCTTATTGGGAGTTTAGGCATTTTTTCATCATAACTACATTAATGGCACTAAACAATTTTCAGTCATATATGTTGATGCAGAGAGTTAGCAAAGTATCCATTTACACTGAAGAAACTGGAACTAATTTTCAGTATGGCTTTCTTGTGAGTACTGATGGTTCACTTGCCATAATAGTTTGTAGTAACCTAACCTAACCTTACTTAACCTAATTTGACCTAACATAACCTAACCTAACATAACCTAACCTAACTTAACTTAACCTAACCTACCTGAAGGTTACCCTTAAGTACCAATTGCAAACCAAAGTTAGGACTTACTGTGGACAGGAAAGTTGATATGTCTTGGTAAGAAAATAACAGAAAAATAAGTGGACAGCAATTTTTATGGCTCATTAATTATGACTGAGGAGCTTTTCTTGCCAAAAACAATATTAGAGTGCAGCCATTAAAGTAGCCAGCTCAAAACTCATTTTATTCAACGTGCATCAGTGTATATGACTGAGAACATCAACATTTCCTCTGCCACACTAGTTGGATGACTGTATGAACTATCTGTTTCAGTGAATGAAAATCTCATGGGTCATACCTAGAAATGTATTTATGCACTCACTTTGTGATTTTGTTATTTCTTGCCTAATTGCAGTTTTTCTCACCAGAACATCACGAAGATAATAAATGCAACATTCACTGTATTGCCACCAGTGTCATGTGTGTTGGCAACATATGGTGACAATAGCCCATATGAAACGTATGGATATGAGAAAATGTGCAGTGAGAAGTATCCAAACGCTACCTATATGGGTGGACATTCTAACCCACTCATTCTTAAACATACATACAGGTAGATACTTTTTACCAGTTTGTTCCCATTTTCTCTACACCTGTGGTTACCATTTCATTTTTTGGTCACTTTCTGTCTGTTATGAAATTGTCACATATTCTATGAGTGTTTACCTTCAGTTAATACTGTAGTAGCCACTGAAGTATATTACCTGAAGATTATTAAGTGGTCCCTTGACCTGACCTTAACCTAACCTAACCTAACCTAACCTAACCTAACCTAACCTAACCTAACCTAACTTAGCCTAACTTATTGTAATGTGTATAAATTTTCATTCACAGATAATTAGCTTTTTGTTTACAGAATATGCTTAAAATCACCAAGAAAATTCCATTAAAGTCCCAGATTTCAGAAGGGCAAACATTGATAGTTTGAAAAGGCAGCTGAGAGGAGGGGTATCACGTTTGGGGGTGAATTACACAATGTACCCACAGAGGGCGACTTCACTTTACCTGGTGACCTGACAACGAGTACCTCACAAAATAGTTTAAGGATGACTTGGTCACGAAATCTGAGGTTGACGAGTTCCACAACAATTTAAATAATTAATGAGTTATTTAATGCACAAAGGCAGAACATACCATACAGCAAACTCATTTCAAATAAAAATGTCCCCAAATGGATAAATAATTTTTTAAAGAATATTATTGGACAAAGGAAGGCTTTAGGTAGGAGAATAAATCGTGGTGAAATTTACCTCCGAGTTTATTATAAGGTATTGGCCAGTAGGGTTAAGACTGAGATAAGAAAAGCAAAGAGGAATAATGAACTGAAGGTAGCAAGGGAGGCAAAGTTAAACCCCAAGGGATTCTTCCAAATGTATCGAACTAAAACATGAGACAAGATTGGACCAATACAGTCAGATACCAGCGAGCTCACAGATAACGACAGAGAAATGAGCAATAATCTGAACAGATATTTTTCAACAGTTTTCACCACTGAAAATTTCAACATGATACCCAAGGTACTGACTATGTGAAGAGATATTGAAGAAAATAGATTAAGCAAGATAGTACTGTACAGTAGTGACTGGTAATGATGTTGGTAAGCAAATAGACAAACTAAAGTCTAATAAGTCGCCAGGTCCCAATGAGATATTTGCCAGAGTATTACAGGAATGTAAGAAAGAGCTTAGTATGCCCTTAGCAAATTTGTTTAACATGTCATTAAATATGGGTGTAGTACCAGAATCCTGGAGGATAGCGAATATGATACCGATTTCCAAGAAAGGAGATAGATCACTATCCTCTAACTACCGCCCAATGATGTGGTATACCTCGACCTTAGCAAAGCCTTCAACAGAGTCCCCCCATGAAAGACTAATACGAAAAGTGGAGGCTAATGGCATTGAAGGAGATATTCTAAAATTGATTAGGGTGTGGTTACAGGACAGGAAACAGCTAGTAAGCATTAACGACACTAAATTCGATTGGGGTAATGTCACAAGTGGATTATCCCAAGGCTCAGTACTTGGAACATTACTATTTATTATATACAGTACATAAACGAAAGGTATAGGCATAGACAGCATCATAAGTAAATTTGCTGATGACACTAAAATAGGGCATGTAATTAAATCTGACGAAGATTTTGCAAAACTACAGGAAAATCTAAAGAAAAATTTTGAATGGTCTGAAAAATGGCAGATGAAATTTAATGTGGACAAATGTAAAGTACTGTACTTAGTCTAACTCTTGGAGATGTAAACAGAGAAGCCAGATATCAGATGAACAACGCTGTTAAAGAGAAATCTGACTGTGAGAAAGATTTAGGAGTAATGATAAGTACGAATCTTAAACCAAGTCAACAATGTGTATTTGCTCGAAACAAGCTAACAAAGTACTTGGGTTCATTTAAAGGAGTGTATGAACATAAGAATATAAGTACTGTATGGAGGAAAGAGCATCAGGCCTATTGGCCCCTACTGGGCAGTCGCATTTACACCCAACCCCTTTCACTCATATATCCATCCAACTTGTTTGAAGCTAGCCAGCCCATTCGAGTTAATGATGATGTTTGGTAACTCATTTCACTTATCCACTACTCTATTTCCAAACCAATGTTTACCTATCTTGTGCCTAGGATGTAGCCTTTTTTCACCTTTGAGAATAATAATGTGTCATATAAGTGTTACATTCAGGCAGTCATAATATGGAAATGTATTTATGAGTATCGTCAGATGTTTAAATAGATTATTCATAAATACAGTGAGATATGTATAAATATAATCATGTATATAAAGAAACATAAAAATACATAATCATAGATCTTCAATATATGTGCAGTTGTAGTTACATGTGCACACAGGTATACCTAGTTGTAGTTGCATGTGCACACAGGTATACATAGTTGTAGCTACATGTGTACACAGGTATACACAGTTGCAGTTACATGTGCACACAGCTGTAGTTACATGTACACACAGGATACATTATCATTATACACAGTTGTGGTCACATGTCTAATTCTTCCCCTGTTAACATGCATTTACCTTTACCATTACACTTACATCTATTAGATGTACGGCTATCACTGGTGGCTGTTAGATGAACCTTCTAATGAATAGGTCTCACAAGGCAGGTCTCACAAGGCAGGTCTCAAGACTCATCTCACAAGGCAGGTCTCATAAGGCAGGTCTCAAGACTCATCTCACAAGTTAGGGCTCACAAGACACTCTCACAAGGTAGGTCTCACAAGCTAGGTCTTGCAAGACACTCACAAGATAGGCCTCACAAGGCAGGTCTCACAAGACAAGTCTCATAAAGCAGGTCTCACAAGGCAGGTCTCAAGACTCATCTCACAAGGCATGTCTCACAAGATAGGTCTCACAAGGCAGGTCTCACAAGATAGGTCTCACAAGGCAGGTCTCACAAGATACGTTTCACAGGGCAGGTCTCACAAGATTGGTCTCACAAGTCAGGGCTCATGAGGCAATGCTGATCTTTAAAATAACCTGTGATGAGACTTTGGGAAAGATTGGGGAAAGGACATTAACAAATGGTTACTGCTAAGTACATAGGGAAGCCCAGTGACAGTCTTACATGTAATACAGGGCTGTTGATTATGAGGCATTAATTTCAGTGCTGTTTTATCTCTTTTTCAGGGAGGAAGGAATATACATGGTGAGAGCTGTCGCCTCTGATTCAAAAGTTTCAAAAACTAATGACTTACAGGTAGTGATTGCATCGTTACCTTGCAATATGCCGGTGGTTACTATAGTAAAAAAGATGATGGATTACACCAACGCACCAAAAAATTGGCGGTCCTTATCATATGTACAATCTGCAACAGCACAAATTAATTGCAGCCATAGTGTGCCTGTGAGGTATGGTGGCATCTTTAGTTTTATTAATCTTGTTTATAATTTGAATACAGGTATTACTTTTTGCATCTTAATTGTTAAATATCTAGTCAGCAGACGTTGAACCTTGATAAACACAGTTAGTACTGTATGTGGTTTACCATACACGGGACAAAATTTAACTGATATTTAGTATTTGGTAGATGCTTTTGTGATTTATGCACAGTATAGAAAAATCATAAAGATTAAGAAATTAACTCCCAGTCAGGTGCCATTTTCACAAAAATTAAATACTAGAGGCACTTCTGAGGATAAGTTGGCAACTAATGTTCTAGGTTAATTTTTGGGTACTGACTTCAAATTTACCAGTTGCCACCATGAAAAATCCCTCTTTACTCCTCAAATTGGGCTTTCAAGTTTGCCATCACCCTAAATGAGGGTTATATCTTATATATTGTATGAAAACCCAATTTTCAAAACTGTATAGTACAGTACCTGTAATGATACAATATAAAACATTTTCACTATATTATTGATATACACCTAGACCCCGACTTACGACTACGTGGACTTACGACCGTCGGGACTTACGACCGCCGCAGATTTTTTATTAAAAAAAAAAAAAAAAAAAAAAATCTTCAAATGACACGCATTTTCTATACCGAAACGTTTCCAGTTAATGTAGTCTCCATGTATAATTAGAAAATTATGGGGGCCCCATGTGCATTCAGCTGACTACATTAAAGGTAAGTGCTCAGTCACACTGTAACCATTCCTTATTATTTATTACTTTCACTGTACTGTATCCATTCCTCATTATTCATTATTTTTACTGTACTGTATTTCATTGTAGATTATTTATTAAAAAAAGAAAAAAAAAAAAAAAATTTTTATCTATGTCGGACTTACGACCTGGATTTGGGTCCCTAACCCCGTCATAAGTCGGGGTCTAGGTGTAGTTTGATGTGAAATTCAAGATGACAGCCAAGATGTCTTCCGTTTGAGGATACTATGATGTATCAACAAGTTTGTGTTTACTTGTAGCAAATGTAGTACTAAAAAAATTTAAAGCATATAGTTTTGAAAATATATTTTATTCCAAAAATTTTATTAACTTAAATAATTATAATATTACATGATATTGTAAATATAAAATCGTTTATGCCTTAACAAGGTCATTCATGCGCATGTTCCTGCTTCACTACTAATATGTACTGTGTATAAAATTAATTTATGACTATTAAATAGTTTCTTAATCTCAAAGAATCTATTGGGTATCTATAAAGTCATAAGGGTATAAAGGGAAACAGTATACAGTCAACCCTCGCTTTACGCGGTCCCACATTACGTGTTTCCACGTTTACGCGGTACCCTGCCGAAACCAGAATGCTCACTTTCCGCGGTGCGTGTACCCTTTTACGCGGAAAGTGGCGCGAGCAGGGTGCGCACAAGGTCGCCCGTCATCAAATCATTACCGAGTTCTTCACCCGCCACCCACCACAGCCGGCCCAAGTCAGTGATAGTGATAATGATAGTGAAGATATGGACTTATATGGACTTTGAGGGGTTTGACAAAGAGGCCCTGTAAGCCTCTGTGGTGGATAGTGATACAATTGATACAAGTGATACAGGTGAGGGCCAATAATCTGCCCTCTGCCTCGGAACCAACCCCCCATCCCCGTGTGCCCAGCCATCTTTTCTACTAATGTAAGTGTTAAAAAACCTAATATTATTGATATTTCTCTTAATTATTAATTGTGTGTGCATACCATCATAAAATTAAGAAGTTATTTTTACTACAACGTAGGTATTGTGTCTGAAAAAGTGGAGTTTGGGGGTCGGCCCGGTCTCTATTTCAATTAATCCCATATGTTATGTTGTTCACTTTACGCGTTTCTCACTTTACTCGGGCCGCCGTAGGTTGAATTAACCGCGTAAAGTGAGGGTTCACTGTATAGGTACACTTGGTAAAAAAAGTATCTTTACAATTCTTGTCTGAAACAAAATGATACCACGAATGAAGGTTTTTGATAAAGGCTCATGAGGCACACTGTTATTCACCACTCATAATGCAATGAACTAATTTTATATTTTGAATTAAATAACTAAATTAGGCCTACTATAATAGTTAGGAAATGTCCCACAATCACACCTACAAACCCTAGCGAGAAAACAGGATTGTTCAGTTCCAAATTCATCGGTCCCCTCCTGAAAGATACTTTTTTCTTACCTAGTGCGCATATAGGTGTAAATGGTACATATTTCTAACAAGAGTTATTGTTTCAATCATTTTTTCTCTCTACATTTGCATGCAGATATGCAATGCTGGTTTAAATTTTGGCAATTACAGCACATGGACCTACACACTGTGGTACATCCACAGGAAGTAAGATCAACACACTTTGCAGGCCCAGCAGGTAGTGACATGAAGACAGGTGTCAATGTGTCACCAAATAGGGACTATCCCATTGTCTCAGGAGAAGGAAGCACTGAGTCACAGACATGAGCCTGCCTCCAAACTAATGTTTGACAATGTGTACGCCCTATATGAAGTTTCAATGCATCCTTAATGGGGGGCAAGGAGTCGGGCTTGTATCCTTTAATGAAGAGGTTGACACAGACCTTAGTGAGATTGTTTCTTTCCTGTTTTATACAGAGGTCTTTGTATTGGATTGCTTAATGGAACTACTGTTCAGCTGTGTTTGGCCTTTAGTCCGAGCTGTTGTAGTTTTTGTTATTCCAACTATGCTGCCACATTTTTTGCCAGTATCATTTACCCATTTGCTGGTTGTCTTCTTTACTCCAAAGTTTCTCTGCAGAAACTCACTCTTCATCTCCTCATGCAGTTTGTCCGTCTCATGCAAATAGACAAAGCCCCTGCATGCATAGTTTATATGGTTTAACTGGAAAACCAGGAGCAACATGGAGCAAAGAGATTAGATGTAGCTCTGGGTTACCTTCTCTTGGTGCTCTGATGAAAAACATCATAATCTGCTTCGGCTCCATGTAACCCCACCAGTACTTGAAATCTGGATTGTTTCTAGACTGAATGAAAGCTTGTACATGATCTGTAATATTTTCAGTAGCCAACTCTGTTCTACAAGAATACTGATGTCATTCATTTCTGCCATACTCTGAAGATTTAACAAGAGCCTAGGGTCTCTATTGCCAATAAATTCCAGTAGCTGAGGCAGCAAATTCTGCCACATTGTCTGTACAGAAAGCTTATACTGTACATTCTTACTGTACATGCATATTGCTTACCAGCAAGAATTTGCTCTGCAACTCCAGAACGTACCAACTCCACTTTCTACCCAATGCTTCAAGGATTCCAGATGACATGAGATGTTTTCCAATTGCCTTGAGATACATTAGCAACATATGCAAACCTCCTAGATGGACAGTGAGAAAAGTGTAGTCTTTTACCAATTTCAATTCCATTAGTTTGCAAAATAAAGCTTCATCAATGGTTCGAACATGCTGGTCTGACCTCGTCATGATGCTGTATACTTTCATTGGAGAACACGTTCATGGGCAGGGGCATGCACAATAGGCGAATAACCTATTGTTGTTTGGTCAGGGTCATAAAGACTATGGATCTGGTTGTATACAGTCCAGTTGGGTTTGGAAGTGGCCATACCATCTTGTTGTATAAAGAAGGGCATGTCTTTAGCAAGGCTTTCTTTTATCCCAAACTTCAGTTGTATCAAACACACTTTTATCACCTTGGAACATTGGTTGGTCAACTCTTTGTGGCATATTTGTTGGGCATATTTGCTGACACCAGTTATTCCCTAATATCTGGCACTTGCAATGTTGCATGTGTGGTAGGGCAAATGTTGTTTAGACTCAGTTCAGTGCTAGGACCCCATTGCTAACAGGCAACCTGTGTTTCATGAAATGTGTTTCAACCACTGAAACTGCCATCATTGATGTTAATGTTGTCACAAGTGAAATAGAGAAACCTGCCTTGAACAAGATTCTGGAGTGTAACTGCTCTTGTGTCCGGGTCCATTGCACTGAGAGTTTTTTTTAGCCAATGTCTTATCTATTTTCAACACATCTTTGTAACTTATCGAATTTCTTGTTTTGTGAAATAGCTCCACCAGTTTCTTAGACCTCATTGCTTATGCAAGGTGCACCCTAGCCCAACATGTTTTGGTGTAAACCTTGTTGCTTATGCAAGGTGCACCCTAGTCCAACATGTTTTGGTGTAGACCTTGGTGCTTATGCAAGGTGCACCCTAGTCCAACATGTTTTGGTGTAGACCTTGGTGCTTATGCAAGGTGCACCCTAGCCCAACATGTTTTGGTGTAAACCTTGGTGCTTATGCAAGGTGCACCCTAGCCCAACATGTTTTGGTGTAAACCTTGGTGCTTATGCAAGGTGCACCCTAGCCCAACATGTTTTGGTGTAGACCTTGTTGCTTATGCAAGGTGCACCCTAGCCCAACATGTTTTGGTGTAGACCTTGTTGCTTATGCAAGGTGCACCGTAGCCCAACATGTTTTGGGTGTCCAGTAACCTACTAACATTAAACAGTACTGTACATCTTGAGCCAAGTTCAATAGTACTTTGTCTTGAAGTTTTTCCTTTACACTTTCAAAATTTTCGTCATTAGAATTTTCTGCATCCGGATAAAGCCACTTGTCCCCCGAGAAACAGGCACTCTTTTGTAAACTGTATGTGACAGAATATAATTTAACAAATGAAGTGCAACATGGACCAACTCAAGGAAGGACATATCTCCATGTCTGTATGTGGGGATAGAGCTTTGAAATAGGCACATAAGCAAATTTTCTTGGCACAAGAACAGTCTGCTTTTCTTCAACAACTTTGTCTTTCATCTGCAAAAACTCATAGGCTTCACCTTTACATGACTTGAATTTTTCCTTGAATGTGCTATGTATGCAAATGGAAGATTTAGGAATGTATATATCAGCTGTTTCTGCTAATTCAGTGTTTTACCATACCTTAGAAAGTTCAAGCACATGCTCTTGGTATGCATGTGATCTAAGTTCTTCTGTCAACCACACCATAGCTTTGTCTACAATCTGACATTTATATTTTGTTAAAGAACTTATCATTAACCTTAACAATGTGCACACTAATTACATGGTATTTGGTCAAACTGAGCATCCTTAAGTACAGTGGTCCCTCGGTTAACGAGCACAATTCGTTCCAGAAGGTTGCTCGTTAACCGAAAAACTCGTTAACCAAAACCATTGTTTCAATGGGTTTTTGGGTAATTGGTTTCAGCTCACCGAAAATTGCCTAAAGTCAACAAAAAAGGTAGTAAAGTACACTTTCTTTGAGGTGTGTATGTAGAAGGCTTCTGGATGATGATGATGATGATGATGATGATGATGGGAATTAGAATGGGGGTGGAGGAGAAGGGAGAAGAGAAGGCATTGGGGTGGAAGAGAAGTCACCCCATGGCGCCATGTCACCCATAAAATTTTAGTTCACTTGGTGTAATTCAAGATTATTTTCTTTGAATCAACACCGCACTGCATTATATATTGTCAATATGTAAAATAAATTTCAGATTGACCAATAATTTGCTTGGAAACACAGAAAGAAAGCATTTATGTTGAAGAGAGTCTGAAGCAAGGTGTTACCTCCACTGAAAAGACACAGAGACTGACGCCTGTATGGTGTGTTGACAGGCTGTTTGGAGCGCAAAAACCTAGCTTCCTGTACTTCAATTATGTTAAATAATTGTTAAAATGACTCAAAAATTTAATATAAAACTTTTAAAATTATTGAATAGTACAAACTTCTTGATATTAACTAAAATACTAAGGAATTTAAGCCCTAGAACCGATTACTGTATTGGCGGACTAATACTCCAGCTGGTGAACCGCCAAATGCAAGCGAAAACATGTGGAGGGGCGCTTGTTAAAAATTCGTTAGTCGAGGGATTGCTCGTTAACCGAAGTTAAGAATCCTATGGAAGGTAATTTGTTAACCGAAATTTTGTTAACCGAGGCGCTCGTTAACCGAGGGATCACTGTATATGAGAGCTCATTTTGAAAGTAGTTACACTCCAAATTGTTCCACATGATTTTTACACAAGAAATTCTCAATGATCGTTTGGAATAGACAGTTTTTTGTTCTGTCATAGACGTGTACCCATCACTCCCACACATGGCAATCTTTTCAAGACAGCAAAGCTTTTCTTTAATTATGAATGTTGCATAACACGTTTGTGCCACATTAATGCATTTGAAGCTGCATTCTCAAAATGGGCAGCAAGTATAGCAATTGTGGCTCTGTTAGATGCATCTCTTAATTTCTGCCAAATCTGTAAGACTTTTTGCAATGTACAGGTATCTAAACACTTTTCAGTACTGTTCACTAATTTTTCATGTTTGGATTCTTGGCAAAGCACACATTCATTATACATAGTCTGTACAGCTCTGCCATTTTAAGGATATTGAAGAATCCATATTATAAATCTTGCAAGTTTTTAAATGAGCCACAAAACACCAATGCAAGAAACCCATCACCACTACTTTATTAGTTGACTATCTTCTGTATCATGCTACATGCACACACCACACACCTGCAAAAGAAATAGATATGGGATGACCTATGATATATTTCATGCATTAAAGGACATTGCATTTTTTGCTTATGCAGTAAGTTCTCAATATATGCGAGTTTAGCTTGTGTGAATCCTTTCATATGTGAGGGCCCTATTCCTACTAGGAATTAAATTAATGCAAGCAAAATTCACACTTCTGCAAATCCATGATTTGAAATATTAAGAATGCAGACAAAATGTCACATTCCCTGATATAATTTCCAACCCTGATAGCCCTGCAGATGTCATTCCAACATCATCACCAACTATAACTTCTACCACCACCTCCATCATCTCATCTACCCAAGCTTTTTTTTTCTTCTTTTTACGGGGAATAGCCCACCTGGGCACAGGTCATCGATCCACAATGGGGCCTAGGGGGTGAAAAAGTTAGAGTAACAAGAAATACAAAAATAAAAAAGAAAAAGATTATATTAATCTACACTGCGAAGATGCCGGAAAACCAGCTTTTTGAAGTGAGACAGAATGTATGAGTATGGAAACAGAAGAAGGCAGAGCATTCCACAGTTTGGCTGTGTGAGGAAAGAAGGATGTGACCGACATCCACACAGAAATTGAGTATGAATAGTGTGAGGGGTTAGAGGTAAAACAAAGATCAAGGATGTTAGTAAGTTGATCTTGTCGATCAAGAACGCCTGTAGGGTGTTTAAGTATTTGTTCCAGATCATTAAGTAAGAAAAAAGAGGGTGCCTCAGCTCCACCTGGGTCATCCCTTGCAGAATCAAACCACTCTGTGATGTACATTGAAATCCCCTAGGTAGAGGATCTCGGTATTGGGGTGTGTGGATAACAACGACTCATGGCAAGAAGTGAGATAGTCAGAGTTCTAAATAGTTGGTAGAGTTGGGAGAACAGCATAGGAAACAAAGGAAAATGGTCATAGTTGTAGAGATACTTTGAGCCAGATGACATCATAAAGAGAAGATTGAAGATCCGTAAGTCGAGCTATAGGTGTACGTGTGTTGCAGTAGGTTGAAAAGGTTTGAGTGAAGCTGCTTTGGTCAATTGAAGTTCAGATAGTAGTAAGAGGTCGGGGGAAAAGGTTAATGGATGGTGCTCTACAGAAGGAAAATTGAATCTCAGGCCACGAATGTTGGAAAAATGAAGTGTGAAAAAGGCTGATCCTCCAGCAACTGCGGTGATGTCAGTTGAGGCCCCAGTAGTTTGATGATGATCAGGACGGCCCTATGGTCCACAACCTTCCCGACCAGTGGGACCCATCCGAGAAGGCCCCACTTAATATTATTGTCAACTGACATAATAGGAGAATTAAAGAATAGAAAGAATAAAGCAGAGCAAGAGTGAGTACGGTTATATACGTTGTGTTGGCAATAGTAAGAGAGACAATTGAGTTCCTGCAATTGTGTGTAAATGAGGCAGAAAGACAGATCAGCAACCTGGGACTTGGTCACAATTTTTGTGATGCCACATGGCAGCAGGGTCTACAATTAGACAGTACATTATGCTTCCAATACCTTCCCAGGAGGTAGTACCTCCCAGTTTAGTAGATACCTACTGATGTACAATATCTGCTTTTATTGGTAACTACACTGTTTTGTACCCTTACTTTATTATATTAATATTTTGTATTGATTGTTTTGAATTGTGTTGAAAATGGGTCAGGAACATTTTCATTTTGGGTTATGGAATGCTTCCTATTTTTTCCCACTTAATAAGTATTTGATACAGTACAGTATATGCAATTTTGGTTTATGTGAGAATTTTCAGGAACGTATCCCTTGCATGTACAGTATTGAGGACTTACTGCTACATAAAATTAATGTTTGGCAGCCATATTGGCCTCCATCTTGGAAATGGCATCCTTCGAAGCTAAAATGTATGTACAGTATTTGGACTACTCTACACTGTTTGGACACGAAAGTTAATGCTCTAGCCTTCTGAAACCAAATATATCAACAGTTATGCTTTTGGGTGCAGCAATTGGCAAATTTGAACTCAGCACCCAAAAATTACCCTTAAAAGGTTAATTGCTAAATTTTTATCAAAAATTCTTCTAGAACTTTTCTAGCCACTTTTTTCAGATTTGTCACCTGACTAGAGGTGGTGTGACTCTAGTAAGTAAATTGGCTGTACAGTATATAGAAAAAGGATATTGTACAAAAAATTAACATTTACAGGTAGTACTTAACATCAATTGTGTTATTCTCACAATTTCACAAGTATGTATGGTAATTTTTAAATTCAATTCTAATCATATATTCATACTGCTTTGATCAAACTGTTATGACTAGATGGTTTCCCAAGAGGTCCAATGAGAGCCATCCTCCATGGGTCCAGCATTAGTACAGGAGGAAGCTAGAAGACCCGGAGAAAACTTGCCACGTTCAGTAGGGCCACACTGGACAACATTCTTCTCACACCCACCCCAGGATCGAACCCGGGATATAGTGGTGAGAAGCAAGCAAGATAGCTTGTTTTATATGTATATAGGAAACAACTAATTACCTGTATAAAAATTAACTAATCAAACATCCTTTATTCCAGTTCCCATAATTTGAAAGGGGACAGTCTCCGAGGTAGGAAAGATTAGCTTAGCCCTAGGTTTTAACAAAGTGATTGGCTCAGAGCACATCACACCATACAAAATGTAACCAACCTCAGCTGGCCTTGAGATTGAACCAATATACCTTGGATTTGTGATTGTAAGTGCTGTCAACTCCCTAGAGAAAATAAGAGTGTAAAATTCATATAAAACCATAATTGTGAAGTCTTCCATTTTCTCTGAAATTTTCTATGTTCTAAAAAACTTACTAAATCTACACCAGCCGCTGGTGGAAGGTGTTGAAAGTGAAAAGGGATACTGGAGAGCCAGAAGAAACCATCAACATTGAAGGCGTACTCCCCTCCTGGAATTTTTCCCAGCTGGACATCACGCCCCTCTTCCTCCAAGTAGGAGTCTACAAGCTCTCATACACCATCAGATTGAATGCCTCCAAAATCTTTCCACTTCAGAGGGAGGATTACACCTACATTGAGATAATTCCAGTTAGTTTTGAGACTCTTGCTCTTTCTTTTTACATTTGAAAATACAGGTTGTACTTCTCCAGTCCAACAACCTCGGGACCTGACCGGTGCCGGACCATGGAAATTTCCGGACCATGGAAATTCACCCTTTTCCTGGACAGATAGTGACTTGCGCTTAAGTTAGCACCACTTTCACTGCTCCGTGGTCTCTTTGAAGACATATTGAAGGGTTAAATGTCGTACAGTAGCTTCTCAAATTTCGCGAATTTTGAATTCACTGTATTTTATTTGGACACAAAAAAAAAACACTACATAATTTAAAATTTTGACAGTGGAAACTCGAATTTCGACGGGTTTGAACGGCTCGCCAACGTTCAGATGACGTGCTCAATCGTGTAAACAGCGTCATTTCTCTTATGTACAAAAGATTCATTATTGTTTATTACTGAATGTCTTTTTTATTGAATTAATATTTATGTGTGCAAAATGAGCAATACAATTCATTAATAATATGTAGAATATTAAAACACACGAGGAAATGAGACAGCATTGTTTTCGTTGATTACAAAACCAGTGACCGAGTGGTTCTACATATAAAACAAGAAAATAAGACCCTGGTTGTAGCTGTAGTAAAATTAATGTAATAAATTAATATGGTTGTTTTAAGTAATGTTATCTAATGTTAATAAATAGAACAATAAAAGTAGCAAACCATTTATGTTAAAGAAAAAAGTGAGACTGCGCATATGTAAGTGCGCACATGGGAAAAACATATCTTCATTACTCTACATAAGAATATGAAAGCAACACTTATTTACTGTTCATATATGTTTAATTAATGTTTCTGATTTTTTTTATAATTATGTTTGTGTGCAAAATGAACAATACAATTCATTAATAATTCGTGGAATATTAAAACACACGAGGAGACGAGACGGCTGCCAGCATTCTTTTCGTTAATGTTTACAAAACCAGTGACTGATTGGTTCTACATATAAAACAAGAAAATAAAACCCTGGTTGTAGCTGTAGTAAAATTAATGTAAAAATTAATATGGCTGCTTGAAGTAATGCTATTTAATGTTAATAAATGGAACAATATAAGTAGCTAACCATTAATGTTAAAGAAAAAAGTGAGATCGCGTATGTAAGTGCGCACATGTGAAAACATATCGTCATTACTCTACACAAGAATATGAAAGCAACACTTATTTACTGTTCATATATATTGAAGGGTTAAATGTTGTACTCTGTATAGACAAACAGAGAGAGAGAGAGAGAGCCGAACTGCCGGATGTAAACAAACCTTAATTTCCCGTGGCTTTGTTGTTGTTGTTTTTTTACGGGGATTAGCCCACCTGGGCACAGGTCACTGACCCACATTGGAGCCTGAGGGGCGAAAATGTAATACTCCTGTAATAATAATAATAATTCAGATAAAAAAAAGAAAAAAAAAAAAAGCTGCTTATCTACCTACAGTATTGGACAAACTAAAATCGTTCCGGACCACGGGAGTTTCCGGACCACAGAATGCCGGACTAGAGAGGTACAACCTGTATTGTATCTCATATTTCATTTCATGTAATGATTCTTGAATTATATATATATATATACAGTAGAAGTCCAAAAATCCGGACTGCTTGGGGATTGGGTCGGTCTGGATTTTCGGATTTTCCGGATTCTCAGGCAGTGCTTTTAAAATTCAAATTTCAGGAGAAATAAAGAAGAGATGAACAGGTACATTTTGATAGTTTATTCATTTGCAAATATAGCATGCTTCATTTATCAAAATGAGCAGTTTTAAAGAAAAAGCTGTGAATTCTAGAATTTTATTCTTTGCCTTATTTGTATCATAAATTGTAGACTTTCCAATGTCGTATGTTTCCATTAGAACAGTATTGCTCACACCACGTTCTAGTTTCTTAATTATTTCATGTTTGTCACTCAATTTCAACGTGTTCTTCTTTCTCTTCACACAACGAAGTTTATCTACTTTAGGAGCCATTATTATGGGCTTATACAGTACTCTGTAAATGGAAAGAGTAGGACTCAAAATTACATACGTTGTCACAGTTTGATTGCTCGTTTTAAAGTGGCGACCGCGTTGTCGCTGTGCAGCTGTGGTGCTCACGCATGCACACATACACACAAAAGCCAGCTAAAAAAAAAAAAAAAAAAAAAAGTTAAGTTTGAGTTTTTAGAAAAGTCCAGTTCTCGGGTGGTCCAGATTTCTGGCATCCAGATTTTTAGGACTTTTACTATATATATATATATATATATATATATATATATATATATATATATATATATATATATATATATATATATATATATATATATATATATATATATATATATATATATATATATATATATATATATATATATATATATATATATATATATATATATATATATATATACATACATACATACATACAGTTGTACCCCACTTAACGCGGTCAATTGAACCCAGAGGGTCCCGTGTTAAGTGAAATCCGCGTTAAGTGAACAACAGAACATATGGGATTAATTCCAATAGAAACCGGCCTGACCCCCAAACTCCACTTTTTGAAGGCACATACCTATGTTGTAGTAAAAATAACATCTTAATTTTATGATGGTACATGCACACAATTAATACTTAAGAGAAATACAGTCGCCAAGTTAATGTCCATTCAAATAATGGACTTAACTCCCTCCCTCTCTCACACTACACTCGCTGGCTCTTCCCTCTCAGAGAAATTTTTGGGGGAAAACCACTAAATTTTAATAAATAATACCTCAAACTAAAGTTAGTATAATACAATTGACATTGCTGGATTCCTTGTAAGACCAGGAATATTTTGAATATAAATGTCATATATTTTGCACAAAAGATAACATAGTTACCTAGAGAAAAATTTTTATCTAAAATTTGTATGTTTAATGAAAAATATATGATGTTTATATTCAAAATGATCACCAAATTATAAGAATTCCAGCAATGTAAATTATATTCTGACCGGGTAATTTGTATGAATTTTATGAGCTAAAACAAATATCTTCAGTTAATAAAAAAAAAAATAATCTTCACAACACTATCTGTCAATCAAAGTACCCCACCTTGCCTCCCCCCCTCTTCCAACCGCGCGGTCAGTCCCAACCCTCCCCCCCACCCCCCACCAATCCTCCCTTCCAGGGTTTTTAACATTTAGTATTAAATAATGCCTCAGATTAAAGTTAGGGTAATATAATTGACATTGTTGGATTCCTTGTAAGACCAGGAATATTTTGAATATAAATGTCATATATTTTGCACAAAAGATAACATAGTTAATTTGAGAAAAATTTTTATCTAAAATTTGTATGTCTAATGCAAAAATATGATGTTTATATTCAAAATGATCATCAAATTATAAGAATTCCAGCAATGTAAATTTTATTCAGACCGGGTAATTTGTATGAATTTTATGAGCTAAAACAAATATCTTCAGTTAATAAAAAAAAAATAATTCTTCACTGGGTAACAGATGGTCGGTCTGTCCCTCCCTCCCCCCCACCAACCGTCCCAAGGAGATGTGTGGGATAACCACTAAATTTTAATAAATAATACCTCAAACTAAAGTTAGGATAATATAATTGACATTGCTGGATTCCTTGTAAGACCAGGAATATTTTGAATATAAATGTCATATATTTTGCACAAAAGATAACATAGTTAATTTGAGAAAAATTTTTATCTAAAATTTGTATGTCTAATACAAAAATATGATGTTTATATTCAAAATGATCCTGCGTTATAAATTCCAGCAATGTAAATTCTCTTCAACTTGATAATTTGTATGAATTTTATGAGGCTAAAACAGGCAGTCCAGGCAGGT